CGGGAATGGGTATAGCCTTGACCTTTTTAGCTTTAGACTCATCATCTGACGGCATGGCACCAAGAGCTTCGTCTCCTGCTTGGAAGGTCCGCTTGACAGACAAAAAGTCTTCATCCTCGTCAGCATCGGCTTTGATGCCCGCATCGTTTGGTTCAACGTCGTCGTCGACAATAAGTTTCGAGTAATGCTCCGTGAGAACATCCTGGTTCCGCCTCTCGAACATACGGTCGTATTTTGTCCGCACTTCCTTCTCTTCCTTCTTGGCCTTCTTTTCATCGTCGGAGCTGTCCTCGTCACTAGACAGAGCTTTTGACAGACCGCGCGGTTTGTTCTTCAGAGACTTGGTGTCCTCTCCCTTGACAAACTTGATTCTTGGGGCACCGGGGAGACCCATGGCAGATGCAAATTCTTCTAGAGGAAGCTCCTTGATTTTGAAGATCTCCTTGTCCTTCTGAATGTGAATACTCTTGACATAAGAGACAAACGCCTTCTGCCCTAAGTACTTCAGCGATGCATCCTTGAAACACATATTCTGGAGCTGCAGCTTAATGCTTTGCTTCTTCTTCGATCTGACGTTGATTTTCTCAATTGGTATTTTCTTAGCTTGCAGGCGTTCAATCATTCCTGGCTCTTCACTGGGCTCAAGGAAAAGCACAGCTCTACCATTCCTCTCATACCGTGCCGTTCGTCCAACACGATGGATATAGGTGTCAACATCCTCCGGACAGTCAGCCTGGACGACCCAGTCAACTGCGGGAAAATCCAAGCCGCGAGCAGCAACGTCCGTCGCGAAAAGACATGAATGTGAAGACGAAGCGAATCGCTTCATGATATCGATTCGAGCACCAAGCTTCTGCCGGCCGTGCAGATGCAATAATGAGACACCTGGCCGTAGATGCCTAAAAGCTTCGTAGACAAATCTGACTTGCTTTCCGGAGGAGAAGAAGACGATGGTCTTAGATTTGAGGTTGCTTCTGATGAACGACCAGAGCGTATCGAGTTTATCCGGTAGCGGTGTGACAATGTAGTTTTGCTGTAGGTTCGTAGGGGTAGCGCTATTAGCTGCCTCGTGCACAGCGATGTATTCGGGTTCCCTGAGGCTGAGACGTGCAAGATCAGACACCTTCTTGGTCTGAGTTGCAGAAAACAGCATTGTCTGGCGCTCTTTGGGCAAATGCTCAACAATGGCATCGACTGTGCTCTGAAATCCCATGTCCATAATCCGATCAGCCTCATCAAGAACTAGCATTTGAAGATTGTCCACCTCGAACGCTGCCGTCTGGTCCATATGTTGCAGCATTCGTCCCGGGGTGCAGACAAGAATGTTCATCCGTCCGAGTCTTTCTCTCTCGTCCTGCAGATTCTTTCCGCCAATGACCAGACCAGCAGAGAAAGTATGAAAACGCCCAATCTTCCGCAAAACTTCGAATATCTGCAATGCCAGCTCTCTAGTTGGAGAGATGATCAATGCGCCCAAGCCATCCAGCTCCGTCCACTGAGCTCTGTACAAATTCTCCAAAACTGGAACCAGAAATGCCAACGTCTTTCCACTTCCAGTTTTCGCAGCGCCAAGTATATCTCGCCCCTTCAGAGCAAATGGGAGTGCTTTGGCTTGGATGTCTGTCATTGACTTGTAATGAGAGCCCGTAAGGCCGCTCATGGTCGCTTCTGAAAGTGGCAGCTCGGAGAACGTCTTGAATGAAGACTTGCTGTCAAGTTCCTCCACGCGCTGCTTCAGTGTCGACAAGTCGAGTTCAATGCGCTTGCGCTTCAACTGACGACCGCTCTCCTTAACGGGTTTTGGGCCCCTTTTGCCCTTCTTGCCCTCGGTATCGCGAGGCATTTTCAATGTGTTTTCCGTGTATCTGAGTGTCTTTATCTATCCTCGATGCTTATGCTTTGACAAGCAAATCCAGTCCACCTCAATCTTCTGTCCTTCTGATATTGTATTTCCTCCTTATCTGCATCTCTGCATTCCTCTGTCCATCTGTCGTCGCAAACTTTTTTTTTTTTGACAGACGAAATTCTGCCGTATATAAAATTACGTAATGTTCACCGCCTTCAGACCGGCTGCGATCAACATGTGCTCGGCTTCCAGACCATCTGAGGATGTTCAACAGCTCGAGATTGATCCTGTGAACAGCGTCTAGCAGACTCATTTCGGTGGAAGAATGGCTGAGAAGGAGCAAAGGGACGATCCAGATGCGCTTGACGCGCTGGATATATTAGAGAAGGAAGCATCCGATTTCACTAAGGTGCGCAGTCCAACGAACATAGATGAAGCCATCTACAGTCTTGCTAACGACATCGACAGGATGCAGAGATAGACCGTATAAGAAAGGCGTTTTCTCTGGACGCGTAAGTTTGTCTTCACTTTGACCGTCAGATTGATCTCTGGCTAACACCGTACAGCTATGACGTTCTTGGTCTTCAGCCTGGTGTCACAGAGAAGGACATCAAAATGCAGTATCGCAAGAAGTCACTGTTGATACATCCAGACAAAACAAAGAATCCTGCAGCCCCAGATGCTTTCGATCGGCTAGCTAAAGCTCAGACATACTTGCTAGACGAGAAAAAAAGGGGTTATTTGGATGACATGATAGCGGAAGCGCGAAGTATTCTCATACAAGAGCATAAATACACAATCCATTCCGAAGAGCTGAAGACTGAAGAGTTCAAGAAAGAATGGAGGAAAAAAACAGTCGAGGTTCTGGTTGAAGAAGAGGCGAGAAAGAGACGGCAGCTGAAGGCACAGATGCAAGAGGAAGGACGAGAAAGGAAAAAGGAGGAAGAGGAAATCGAGGCCAGAAAGAGGAAAAGAGATTCCGAGAAAGCGTGGGAAGAGTCTAGAGACGAGAGAATTGGGAGCTGGAGAGACTTCCAAAAAGCCGCCGCTAAGAAGAAGGAAGGGAGCAAGAAAAAGAAGAAGCTGAAGGTCCTGGGGTGAAGCGTCGACATTTTCACGAGATGTGATGCTTTCGTCTTATGGGAATGGACATCTGATGAGCCTTCTAAATAACAACCACATAATACCCTCTTACGCCGTATCAATACAGCAATGCTCACGTTCTGCACCAATTCTTCACAAATAAATCAATTGTCGCATATTTGAATTCCAAAAGATTGAAAGAGTAACTTCAACTAAATGCCTGCGATATGTGCCCTGCGCCTGAACTCAAGAAACATGATATGAAGGAGATCATCAAAGCTATATGAAAGTTGAGAACAACATGAAAGATGAACAGAAAAATGCGCGATTTGGATATACATATATGCAGGATCACTGAATTGAGGTGAGCAGATCAATGCTATGTGCATTTGACCATGTATGGTGTCTAAGAGCCCAGAAAAACACGTCTATGCAACAGAACTTCTAGCCCTAGCATCCTTCACCGATTGTCTCCAATCAATTTTTCGGATATAAAGAACCTCGATCAGAGAAACTAGTGCTAAACCAATAGCGACACCGCCCCATGTTCCTTTGAGCCCAAGTTCGAAAGGGAACGCAGCGAGAAAACTGATGGGCAAAGCGACGACGTAGTAACAGATCAACTGGACATAACCACCAAATGACTGGCGGCCAACACCGCGAAGAGTACCGTTGCTAATAGCAGCTAACGAGTCGACAACTTGAAAGGATGCGCAGATTGGAAGGACCTTGGCGACGAGTCTGGCAACTTCGTTGTCCGAGGTAAATAGATATGGGATATAATTGCGACCGAGTGTCAGGGTGAGAAGATTGAAAGTACCGAAAGCGAGTCCAGCGACAAACATGACTTTTGAGGTCAACTTCGCAGCAACGGGAAGTTCTGCACCAATGAGATTGGCGATACGGGTGCTTCCAGCGATAGAAAGAGGGAAGGGGAACTGGAAAGTGATGGACGTCAAAGTAGCAAGGACTGACTGAGCCGCGAGTGACGTAGTTCCGAGCCAAGAGGCAGACAGCGTCAGGATTTCGAAGGCGAGTGTTTCAGACTCAAGCATGAGGAGGCCGGGAGTAGCGAGCTGGATCATGGGGCCCCAATTTCTGAAAGCCTTTGTGGTGAAGCCATTCCAGCACTCCATGCCTTGAATGAAATATACATATAGGAATAAGAGTAATGGCATGAGGTTGTTCGTGATAGCCACAGCCATAGGAGCACCAATGTAGCCGAAGCCAAATCTCTAAACAACAGGGTTAGTAGGCATTTCTGTAGTGATGTTCAGACGGCAATGGGATAATGGCGGACAAACATACCCAAACGAATAGATAGTTTAAGAGTCCATTGAGCGGCGCGCAAATCAATAGAACATACATAGAGGCATGGAAAAGCCCCTGTGCCTGAACAAATCGTTTCGCACTCTCAAAAAGAGCGAAGCCGGGAGTGCCCAAGACCACGACTCGAAGATATCTCCCAGCCATCTTCAAGTATGTCTTGACTAGTTCCGACGCGGCTTTCTGCACCTCTGCTAGCGCAGCCCGCTCGTCAGCGGTGCCTGTTGTGTCTTTTGATATCCAGTATAGCGAGTATTGCATGCAGTCGTCTGGCAGCTGCGGCCTGGGAATGGGGTGAAATGTGGACTTGAACCACTCGAGGTCCTCCTCTGTCATTGGCGCCATCTCCGCAAGAGTCACAGCAGCGTGCCTTGCAATCTGAAGCAGTGTTCAGTTTCTTTTGATATGGGATTGTCGATGTCGATGTCGATGTCGACTTTTCTGCAGTGATGATTTCATGTACATATGTACTTTGTAGATCCGCGCCGGATGAGTTTTGATCCGCGGTTCTGTCCTGTCCGTCCAATGACGTCACGTATCAAACCCGTAAACCCGTCTGAAGACCTCCATGAGCTCGAATCGGTCAGTTCAATCGACTTTGGCCATGATGATCGCAAAAAAGTCGAGGATAAGCAGTTCGAGGGTGGCCTGTGACCGCGGCCTTCACTTCTAGACAAGGGGGGCCACCAATGGGCGCATCTGCAGCTTCGTCCATGCACGGCAGAAGCAAAAACAGAGACAATTGCGACACCTGTGAGATTCGAACTCACGAGGGCGAACCCACAAGCTCTCGATGCTATAACAGCCACAGCGCGTTAATAGCAGGCTTGCGCCTTAACCACTCGGCCAAAGTGTCGATTTCGCTGCTGGTGGCGTTGTCGCGGGGTAGTCAGTGACAAGCGGGTCGTTTGGCGGGTCTTTTCGCGGGTCTCTTTGGCGCGGTGAAATGTTATTGCTGGGAAGAAGACCGCAGGGCGGACAGAGGGGAAAAGCAGATACGACGAGCCGAGCCGACGTCAATTGTCGCATCCGGTCCGAGTGCGCAATGCTTCGATAATGGAGCTGGCGGTGTACAGACAGTTGCTAGACAAGCCCATGAACCATGCGTTCGTCACTGTCTGCTTCCCTCCATGCCGGCAATGTTTGGCGCAGGCCGACAGTACCCCTCGCTGCGGTCCGATGCACACCTACGCCTACGACGTTGCACTCGCAAGCTTCCAATCTGAATCTGCGGGCTAGTTGCGCGCCCTTGACGCCGTTGCGAAACTTCTCTGTCTGCGCGCGACGGCTGGCTGCGAGCCCAGACATCACGCCTCTTCGCAAGCAGCTCAAGAGCGAAGCGAAAGCGCGAAAGGCCGCTAAACGAAACAATGGCCCGGGCAGCAAGAAGGACGATGTGCTGAAGGATTGGGAATTGACCGTTGGAATTGAAGTGCATGCGCAACTGGACACTGATGCCAAACTCTTCTCAAGTATGAGATCGGGTGGTTCTTTACGGTATGGATGGATCAATGCTAATTAACATCCTTCTCAAGGCGCCTCAACCAACATCGAGGACATACCGAACTCGAATGTCGCCCTGTTCGATCTGGCCATGCCAGGAAGTCAACCAGTGAGCTATTTTTTCCCCTCTTCTCGCATGCGCAACTGACTTCTTACCCTGTCAATCGTATAGATCTTCCAGAAGCCAACGCTTATACCTGCCCTGCGTGCTGCAATCGCATTCAATTGCGATATACAACGGGTGAGCCATTTCGATCGGAAGCACTACTTCTATCAAGACCAACCGTCAGGGTATCAAATAACCCAATATTACGGTAATACCCCCCAAACATCCTTCTTTGAATGTTCACAGGGCTGACGGGATCATGCATGCGCAGATCCATATGCGCGGGATGGAAAGATATGGCTGGGCCCTCACGATGGCATAGCAAAGGAAGACGGCGATGGCGTGCTCGTTGGCATCAAACAAATTCAAATGGAACAAGACACAGCAAAGTCAACCGAGACCCCCTCTGGCGCCTATCAAATGCTCTTAGAACACTGCCCCGTGAATCCCTTTGTTGAGAAAAAAGAAGCAGGGTTCTCGAAGTCGAGCTTGTTGCCGAAGATCATGGCGTTGACGTAGTCGTTGATGCGCTGTGTAGGCGTGCCGTCCATCATGGAGTGCTCGCCCATGAAACCGGCGGTGCCGTTGTCGTTGACGATGAATTGCAATGGCTTGTCGAACCATCTGTTCTTACCGTCACCGTGCCAGTACTGACGGGACCGCTCCTCAAGCGTCACGGGCTTAGCGTCGTCAAGACAGACGACGAATGAGGCAGCCTCGATGTCCTTCAACGAGCCAGCGTTGGCAGGGCTTGCCTTGAGGAGGATCTCACGAGCGTCGGCCCAGGCATCACGGTTCTGGGAAGTGAGACAGCCGATGGCTGGCTTGCCGTCGGCATGCTCGTACACTTTGTCAAACAAAGCCTGCAACTCAGATGCACCCAAGCAATTGATGTATACGGGCTAGACAGTGAAGGCATCTACCGACAGCCCGGTAGCATGCAAGTGATCGAGCAAATGGCACGGGGATTTGAGCGAGGTACGTTTGACAATCTCCTCTGTGCCGAATGTCTTGAGCTGACGAGCTGATTTTGCTCCTGATAGATCCGGACAATTTTGACTTGCTGAACCCTGAGACATTCGCCCACGATATCAACAATGTCGCAGGCTTGCTCAAACATTTCTTCAGAGCATTGCCCGTTCCTCTTCTGACGGACGAGAGACATGACAGTTTCATTGCTGCTGCTCGTAAGTTTCTGATATACCCGAGTTGCTTTATCCAGGCAGTTGTGCTTACTGTCTGCAATAGAAGTCGAAGACGAAAATCAGCGCCGCGATGCCATCCATACATTGATCAACGATCTCCCTGATGCAAACTATGCTACTTTACGAGTGCTAATTCTGGTATGTGGAGCACATTACTGCGAATCACTTCCGAGATTTGAAAACTAACTTTGCCTTCCCTCTGATGGCAGCATCTGAATCGGGTACAAGAACACTCTGCGAGGAATCAGATGACGATTCAAAACATCGCCCTGAGCTTAGGGTGAGTACCCCTTTCCGATCCCTTCCTTTCTCTACAAAGTACATTCCAATATATTGACCTTACGTTAGGTACACGCTGCTGGGCGATAACTCTCAAATTGCGAACCCGGCCTGGGTGGCTCGAGTAGTCGAGACCATGATAGCCAACGCGTTGGTGATTTTCGAAGACGATGCCGACGAGTAGGGCGGACGCTTGTCTGATATTTAATAATCTCACGACCGAAGATGACTGTTCTTTCAAGGATCTTATATGTATGTGATTATCGATGCGATTATGTTTTGTTTCCTGAGGTCTACGGTATGTCATGGAGAGATGGTTTTCGGTCGATTCGGGTGGCGTCGACGGCCACTCTTTGGACTAGATGACTCGATGGCGGGACGACAACGGTGGGCCAGGCCCGACTCTCAGGCATGTATGTAGTATTCAAGGAGGTTTTGCATGTGCGACGGGCGATACATCTTCATCAAGAAGGCCTGGAAAGGGGGGCTGTACGGATAAAATCCATCGACATCCCGCCCATCCCCGACGACGACGCCAATCAGCAAGCTGGAAACCGGCCGAGGAGGATTTCATTCCATTCCATGTTCAGTCGACCGAATGACTCAAGGAAAAGTTTGGCGCAAGCCAGATTCTGGTGAACCCGTAGTACAGACAGACCTGTGGTCGTAATCTCTTCGAACGCCCCCGCCGTTGCCGCCGCCGCCATGAACGCCTCTGTGAGAGGTTATCGGGCGTGCAGCCGCGGTAGTAGTATATAAAGGCCGTCGCTCTCCCACGTTTTCCCTTCTGTTCTCTTTTCTTTCTCTTTTTCTGTCACATCGTCGATATTGATCTTGATCTCGACTGTTCCGACTCCCCCGCCATGGTCTACCCATCCCACCAGGCGACAAACGCCTGCATCTACGTCTCTTTCGTAGTTTTCCTGTATGCTCCTCTTCTCGCTCCTGTGGTGGACTTCCCGCTGACTTCTTCTTTCCCAGGGGCATCGGTCTTTTCTTCGCCTTCAAGCTGAGGAAGCAGAGCAAGTTCTCTTACCTTGCCAGTAATCGCACGCAAAAAGGTTAGAACTGGACTGGTCTGGACTGGATTGCCACCAGCGGCTGCTTTGAAAGAAACATGCTAAACATGCTCACAACTCCTAGCGTTGCCGCTCGCGTTGAATTTCGTCGCGTCAGGTGGGTGTCGCAGACTAGTTGTTGTTTTTACTCCCTGAGGAGCGGCAGCAGCAGCAGGTTTCCTTTCGACGTCATCTTTCCCACCAGAGGATTTGCGATGCAGCATATTGGGGAATCTCTCCCATCAAATGACTATTATGCATTCCCATCTCGCAGTGCTCAACAGGTTCGTATATTGAGAAGAGTTCAAATTCCAGCGAATGCTGCTTTGAGGCGCTGGCGGAGGAGGTCACTGCATCACGCGGTGCCCAGGAATTATCGTCATGACGGCCCTCGTCTGGTTGATTTCCTAACCCTTACAACAGCTTCTTCAAAGTAACATTCGCTACGGCAACACTACGGGCGCTGAATGTGTCTTTCGTCGGACGCTGTTTCAATCCACCCCTGGCTGTTTCTCAACGGCACAGGGAGATTGGCAGGTCTTCGAAACAAACACGAAGCTGAGATGTACCGTTGAACTCGACCAAGTTAATTCTTGCGTGGGAAAGATGCTGCCGCTTATCAAGAAAAAAAGTCATAAACGATGCCCTGCCCTGTGGCGTACCTGATGTGCTTGGGAGATCCGGCCGATTTTACGCCACTTCGCCATCCCAGCACTCCTATCGCCACAGGGTTAGGGCGACTCCCGTTCTTTGCTAACCTCATATCCGTTATATAGGCATGGGCTCCGGTACACTGTTTACCTACCCCGAGATCTCTACCGTCGCTGGTATTCAAGGCTTGATCGTCTACAGCTTCGCCTCGGCCTTGCCGATCCTTTGTTTTGGCTTGATTGGCCCCATCATCCGCAAGAAATGCCCTGATGGTTTCGTCTTGACGGAATGGACGAGGCAAAGATATGGCATTGTCGCCGCTCTTTACCTTAGTGCTGTAACGTGAGTATATTGTCCAGTTTTGCTCCGCTGAGGTGGCAGCAGATGCTGATCCTTCCCTACCCTAGGCTCATCACCCTATTCTTATACATGGTTGCAGAGTTGTCTGGTTTTCAGCAACTCATCAATGTCCTTACCGGCATCAATGGACTCCCTCCTGTGATCGTCGAGGTCATCATCACCACGATCTATACCACGATCGGTGGTTTCAAAGTGTCCTTCATCACCGACAATATTCAGGGGGCTGTCGTTCTCCTGATCTTGCTGATCGGTACCATTACAGTGGGAACTCACGTCCACATCGACCATGGTGTTGTACATGACAGCCCCTTGCTCAAGTCGTCATTGCTTGGATGGCAGCTTCTCTATATCCTGCCCATCGCCGTTGTGACCAACGACTTTTTCTTGTCCCAGTTCTGGATGCGTACCTTCGCGTCTCGTACCGATCGAGATCTCCGCATCGGATCGGTCATCGCAACCGCGATCATCTTCGTCATGCTGATGCTCATCGGCTGCACGGGTCTGCTTGCTGCGTGGAGCGGTACTTGGCCTGGCAACCCTCCACAAGAAGGATCCGTCGCGTTTTTCACGCTTCTGGAGACCATGCCTAGCTGGGTCATCTGTATTGTCCTGGTCCTCGCCGTCTTCTTGAGCTCTGCTGTCTTCGACAGTCTTCAGTCGGCCATGATTAGTACCGGAAGCAACGACATTTTCC